GGCTGCATATGAGAATCCTAGCTTCGCTGCCTCGCTCGGCAGCATGCGCAGCCGAGCCCAACCCCAGGAGCTGTGAGTTAGTCTGCCTTCTGAGCATTCTTTCTGAGCTGAGCTGTAGCAGCTGTGCAAGGGCCCAAAGCTCGCCAAGAGGCCTTTGACCCCCCCGGGGCCTCTTGGTAGAAGGCTCCGCAATCTTTAGCAGCTTTGGGAAGCTGTGCTGCCTGTCCGGCGGGGTCACACACAATAGTTATGTAGGGGAGCAGCATCGTGCAGCCCTGACGCTTCTCGGCTATCCGCCGGCCCAGGTTCCGCTTCCTGGGGCACTTGGGTTCAGAGATGCAGGGCCGAGTGCTGGCATGTGGGATGCCCCGCTCGCTGCACAGACGTTCCAGCCATGGGGCGCACGTTTTCGGAAGCGGTCAAACAGCGATCGGCTCTCCCGACCTGCTCCAAGCTGCACGGCACGGCCTCCGACTCCGAGGCGCCCCTGCGAAGCGCCGCCCCGCCTCGCGCGCACGTTTCGGGCCTCCTTGCGGTCCTTGTGGCCGGTGCTCTCCGGCGCCGGCGCCGAGGCCCGGAAGCCTCGGGTGTGGGACATCTGGAGCCCCGGGACGCGGCGCGCAAGACCAGGGCATTCGAAAAAGAGACCGCCCTGACCTGGGGCTTTTCTTGGGGGGGTTCCCTAAACCCTACACTGGCCCTACACCCTACACCCTACACCCGAAACCCTAAACCCTACACCCTAAACCCTAAACCCTAAACCCTAAACCCTAAACCCTAAACCCTAAACCCGAAGTATAGTAGGTTGAGGTTGGGGGTGAGCAGCCAGAAGTCGGCCCTCAACCTCAAAATTGAAGTCACTTGCCAACAGCTTCAGCTTTCAAATAGAGTCAAGTAGGCCACGCCTGCTATTGTTCCTAAACTACTTCTACCTCAACCATCACCCCCCAACTACCCTTGAACCAGAATAGTAGGATATATACGCCCCCCTTATTAAAGGGTATTTGGGGGGGAAGGGTGTCATGGTTTTGCTTTTGACTCCTGGAGCCCAACAGGCAGTCAGGGTCCCATAGGCTTGAGTGCTTCCCTGGCAGCCCCCCCCCCCCCCCCCCCGGTTTGGGGTTTAGGGTTTAGGGTTTAGGGTTCAGGGTTCAGGGTTTAGGGCCCCCCATAAACCCTGAGACCAAAAACCCCAAAACCTTAGACCATGACGGGGCCCCCCATGGTTGAGGGGTTGCCCTGAAAACAAACGGAACTCCAAAGTTGAGATTAAGGCATAGGGTATGATAGGGTGAGCTGAAAGGCGTACAGGGTGATCATCACTAAGGTGTAGGGTGAGTTCAGCAGGACATCCCAAAAGAGCGCCCTGCTGCCCACGAACTGTTGCGCTTGGTTTTCTGTAATTGTTCCTAAGCTATTGTAGGCCTTTCCTCGAGCCCAGGAAGTGCAATCACTCTTTTGCCGGCCCTTCTCGTGGTTTCCTGTATCCACGTGGTGGGCAGCCAGGTGTCCCAGCTCGTTTCCGCCAAGCATGGGCGATGTTCAGTCTACATGCGCTGTCACGGCGAGCGTCGAGTGACGCGACCGACAAGCAATAAAGATTCTAGAAGCCCCGAAATGCCCAATACCTCAATGATGATCATGCTACGAGCATTCGCCCCTGAGCCCAGCAAGCCCACAACAATCACTTAGGGTTAAACCCTGAACCCTGAACCCGAAAGTCTCTGCGCGCCCACAACAACTCTAAACCATCCTTTCTCCACCATCTGGGGCTCGCAGGTTGCGGCAGGCCGACCTGTGGGTAACCGATTGCCCACAGGTCTGGTCCAGAGCCAAGGGACATTAGGGTCACCATGGGGGCTGAGGGTGAAGGGTTTTAAACGTTTAGGGCTTAGGGCTTAGGGTCTTTAAGTTTAGGGTTTAGGGTTTAGGGTTTAGGGTTTAGGGTTTAGGGTTTAGGGTTTAGGGTTTAGGGTTTAGGGTTTAGGGTTTAGGGTTTAGGGTTTAGGGTTTAGGGTTGAGGATCCAGAGCCAAGGGACACTGGAGTTTAGGCTGTAGTGGCCAGAGGTGAGGAGGAGTCTAGGGTGCGATAGGTTCCCTTTCATCCCCGGAACTAATGTACATAATCGTAGTAGAATCCACTCCTTCTAGCTGGACCCTCAAAAGGGAACTCCGACTAGTAGCTAAGGACAGTGCAAGAAAAAAGCAACAGACCAAACCTCAACACCCTGGAACCCACTACCCAGCCCCCCCCAAGAACCGCTTGAGATCCCCCAAAGCTTCCCTAAACCCTAAACCCTAAACCCTAAACCCTGAACCCTGGCACCGTCGGCGCCATGGCATTCAGCTTGGGGCCCCGGGCCTCGAAGAGCTCGGGGCTGGGGTGCTACGGCGCCTTCGCCTCCGCGAAGGAGCGGCGAGGGTTTGGGTGTTATGGTTGAGGGTTCAGGGGTTGGGGGTTTGGGGTTGAGTTTAGGGTTTAATGTTTAGGGTTTCAGGAGGGGAGGGGCCTTCAAGGGGCGACTTTCATTCAGTTGGGGCTCAAGATGACGCACGTTTCAGGGCTGCCTGGTCAAAGGGCGCTTTTCTGAGGGCTACATTTGCCCCGGAAGCACCAACCCCAAACCCCGGCTGGGCACCTAAACCCTTCTTAAGCCTAGTGGGGGGTGGTCCGAGTTGCCCGATTCACACATCCATTAGGAGAAACCCAATACACCGAAAATCATACTAACAGTGCCAAAAAAGCCCTCGAGGCCTTCTTTTTGTTTACGAGAGAGCCTTCCCCCTAAACCCTAAACCCTGAACCCTAAACCCTCAACCCTCAACCCTCAACCCTCAACCCTCAACCCTCAACCCTCAACCCTCAACCCTAAACCCTAAACCACTTTCGTGAGGAGTTGGAGTCCATTCTGGCGTCCCCGACGCCCTTGTTTTTGTTTTTTTTCGGGGGGGGGGGGGGGGGGGGCAATGAACCCCTCATGGAGTTAGGATCATATCAACGCTATGCTACCATAATCCCGATTTGGGGCTTGGGGTTTAGTCTGGTTAGAGTTTCGCGTGAAGCGTTTAGGGTCTGTTTAGCGATCCCTGTCCAGGTAGATGGACCAGGATTGCCCTTGTAGGGTTCATGGAGTCCCCAAGAAAGAGAGGGTGGCCCGAGTTGGGCCTTGAGTTTTGAGGATCGTAACTGCGTAGTCATTCTGGGATGTTCCTCCTTATACTAACAGGTTACAGTACCCCCGATTATAATCCCTATTAAGGACTGCAAGTGTACGGAGGCACATCCCGAAGTAGGTATGTCAAGGCGGCGTCGAGGTTGAGATTCTGGGTTCGTTCCTGGGCTTCAGGGGTGCGAGGGCCGGAAGTTGTCGTGGAAATCGCTCCGCCAGACCCCCCCTCCCCTCCCCCCTCCCCAACAAGCATCGACGTACAGGAACAACCACCCCCCCCCCCCCCCAAAAAAAAAAAAAAAGCGAGATAATTATAGTAAACCCAAGCCTGCACCCTGCACCTTACACCCACACCCTACACCCTAAACCCTGAATCCTGACCCCTGAACCCTAAACCCTAAACCCTATACAAAAAAGTCTCAGCACCAAAGGCGTTCCTGAGAGATGCTTGGCAGAGCCAGGCTGCAGCGGTGCAAAGAGGGGGCGCCCGGCGGGATGCAGGGAACGACATCCGCAAGATGTTTCAGGACAGGGTTTAGGGTTTAGGGTTTAGGGTTTAGGGTTTAGGGTTTAGGGTTTAGGGTTTAGGGTTTAGGGTTTAGGGTTTAGGGTTTAGGGTTTAGGCTTTAGGGTGCAAGGTGCAGGGTGCAGGGTGTAAAGTGTAGGATTTGGGGTTTAGGGTTTAGGGCTTCGGGTTTAGGGTTTAGGGTTTAATTCGGCTTAGGGTTTAGGGCTTAGGGTGTAGGGTTCAGTGTTGCAAGGCAAGCCTCGACGACTAGGACTGCGTCAGCATGCTTAACCCAAAGAGCCAAAGTTTGCATGCCTCAAAACCCCCAAAAACCCAAGAACCCCAAAGCCCCAAAACACCGAACAACTTCAAAAACTCCAAAGCCCCATTAACCCCAACAACCCAACAGCCCAACAACCCAAAAACCCAAACAAGCCCAAAACAAAGCCCAAGCAACGCCCCAAACAAATCCCAAACAAAGCCTAAGACTTTCCGGGAGAAAGACCTTGGCTGCCAAAAGCCCAAAAACACAACAACACCCAAAAGCCCCCCCCCCCCCCACCGCCCCCTCCGGAAAAAAAAGAGAGCCAACACAAAACCCAAGCAAAGCCCTAAGACTTTCCGGTGTAAAAAGAGGCCCTGGGCAGCCCATACATCAGAGCCCTCTAAAGATCTAGGGACCAGGGACCATGTAACTATCCAGACGCACCCGTAAGGTTGTACCCACAAACGTTCCCTAAACCCGAACCCTGATCCCTTAATCCTTAATCCTAAATCCTAAACCCTAAATCCTAAACCCTAAACCCTAAACCCTAAACCCTAAAACCCTAAACCCTAAACCCTAAACCCTAAGAGAGGCCCTGGGCTGCCAGCCCAAGAGCAACCGGCACCTGGAGCCGGAAGACCTCGGGCAGCTGAGGCACTCGGAAGAACAAGAACTCCCTGTTTTGTTGGATCGGGATGGTGGAGCCTTTTGAACCCTAAACCCTAGCCCTAAACCCTAAACCCTAAACCCTAAACCCTAAACCCTAAACCCTAAACCCTAAACCCTAAACCCTAAACCCTAAACCCTAAACCCTAAACCCTAAACCCTAAACCCTAAACCCTAAACCCTGTATAGGGCTGACATAGGGTTTCAAGGTTGCCGCTGGAGCCCTATGGGCCCTGAACCCCTGTATACTGCCAGCAAGGAGGACGGCTTATAAAAGTCAAGGTTTGGGGGGAATTCGAGTTCCACTTGCTTTCTAAGTCCTCCGCTCCCTGAAGTCTCTCTGTGGCTCCTTTTTTGAGGTACCGTGAAGGGACCTAGCTGGGCCCGAACATGCTCTGCCATTGCTGTGGAGAGTCACAGTGGCTCCGGGAACATTAAACCTTCCTCCTCAAATCCATGGGCATCGTAAACGTTAAATGGGGTTTAGGGTTTAACCCTAAACCCTAAACCTCCAATGCAACCGTTCAAGTGCCCGTTGCAGGAGTGGCGCTTGCCGGTTTGCGCTGAAGGCGCGCGGCTCAGTGTTCCAGCGACGGCCTTCATTATGAATACGTGAACTTTTCCCACTGAAGACCGGAGTTGCCCCAAACCTTCATCCCGAGTTCGAATCCTAATTCAGGGGATGAAGGCTGGGCCCCAGAATCAGCGCGCAGGCGGATGGTGAGCGGAAGTTGTTCGTTGTTTGGGCAGAGCAGCTCGGGAAGGCCGGGGAAGGAAACGGGTCGCAGGATTCGTGCCATGGGAGATTGAAGACGATACCCCTAGTTCACCCCTAGCTTAAGAGCCCAAAACCTAGTTTTCCTATGCTCTGATTTTTTCCATCTCCTGACAGGTTTCTGGGGTAACGTGCAACAAGCAGCTTTTGGGTTGTTCATGTAAACCCTAAACCTCAATCCTGCGCAACCCGCCTACGTCTTTGAGGTTGCCCTTAACACGTGTCAGACTGCAAGTCAAGCTAAACATCTGGGCTGGGTTTGCAACTGTACACTGACTTTGAGCCACCTTGCAAGCGGCCGCACCCTGTGAACCACGCACGGCCCAGTGCATGGGAAACAAACCCATGCAAATGCTGCAAACAAGTCGAAGTAGTTGCATAACCCTCTGCGTGTTCATCATCTTAACCTGCATAGGTCCTTCTACTCCGCACCCGAGCAGGTCAAAAGCGCTGAACGCTTAAGACTCTGAATGTAGCATAGCTCCCCCTCTCTTTCAGACCGAAAGAAGCGGAGGACAGGACCAAGCCAATGTCCTATGTCATGAGTTCCCCTACGAGCCCCCTCTGTACTACCCCCCCCCCACAATTAACACTATTTAGGGATAACTTAAGCCTAATTCGGGGTATTTAAGGGGGAAACGTAGAGGGGGTGCTTGTAGTATAGAGGGGTAGTAAGGGAACCCGTGACTGTTCTCTTGAACCTGCCTCTTGAGGTGGGTGCGTGGCTGGTCGCCCCGAACACGGGGGAAGTGGAACCGCTTTTGGTCAGGTCGCGCGGTTGTTGGAGCTTGGGGGGTTTAGGGTTTAGGGCTTGGGGCTTAGGTTGAGGGTTTAGAGTTTAGGGTTTAGTGTCTAGGGTGTAGTTGCCGGCAGCGGCCCCAAACCCTAAATCCTAAACCCGAAATCCTAAACCCTAAGCCCTAAGCCCTAAGCCCTAAGCCCCAAGCCCTAAGCCCCAAACCCTAAACCCTAAACCCTATATAAGCCCTAAACCCTAAACCCTAAGCCCTAAGCCCTAAGCCCTAGGCCCTAGGCCCTAAGCCCTAAGCCCTAAGCCCTAGGCCCTAAGCCCTAAACCCTAAACCCTAAACACTACCCCCCAAACCCTAAACCCTAAGCCAACTCCCCGCCAGGATCGGACAGGACCAAGTGCGGAATGTGCTCCCAAACTTTGGGGCCAACGGCCTCCACATCATCGACGCGGAGGACGCCTCCCTTACTACTCTTTGCGGTTTAGGGTTTAGGGTTTAGGGTTTAGGGCTTAGGGCTTAGGGCTTAGGGCTTAGGGCTTAGGGTTTAGGGAGGCCCAAGTAGGAGTCGCAGTGCGTTGAGGGTCTAGGGTTTAGGTTGTTCGTGCATGGAACTTTGCTGGCGGTCACTGATGTAGAGGTTTTGAGCCTTAGGACCCGGAGTGGGCCCCCAATTTTGCTTTTTTAAGGGTTTCTAGGTTCTCTTAGAATCCCCTTTGAACCAAAAAGGGGGAGGGTCTCAAGCTCAACTGCTGTGCTCTTCGGGGAGGTGAGAGAAGAGCAGGTTTAGGGTTTAGGGTTTAGGGTTTTTGAGCCACTCAGGAGGTAGAGTTGGTCACAGCCGACGAAGCCTCCCAGCAACCTCTTCGCCGCTCGGGGGCCTCTTAGAACGGATATTCAGGGTTGAAGAGCTGTTTAGGTTTAGGGCTTAAAAACCCTAAAACACTGAACCCTGCAACCTTCGCAGTTTGGGGTGTGAAGCGCATGGCTTCTGAGGGTTCAGGATTTGAAGAGTTTGGGTCCTGAGCAGGCTTTTGTTTGTTCAGGGACCCGAAGCCCCTTCCTAAGCCCCGCGCAGGTGGAACCTCTAAGAACCCCTGAGCTCAAAGCACCTAAACCCGAGCCTTCTACGCAACCACAACCATGGGGCTCAACAACGACGCTTTGCCGAAACCCTAAGCCCTAAGCCCTATCCCCTAAACCCTTATCCCTAAACCCTAAACCCTCAACCCTCAACCCTAAACCCTAAACCCCTAAACCCCTAAACCCCTAAACCCCTAAACCCCTAAACCCCTAAACCCCTAAACCCCTAAACCCTAAACCCCTCAACCCTCTTCAGGCCGTGGCTCCCAGAAGGGAGCACAGCGGGTGCTCCTCGCGTTCGACCTGCCCCTGGGACACCAGATGGGGGCCCCTTACTTGGAGGTTCATGGTAATTAGTAACCCAACTAGGATTTAGGGTATAGGGTTTTAGGGTTTAGGGTTTAGCTTTGTAACCCAATTATGACTGCACTTATACCCCAAGTATAACCCTATTAGGGTACTTCAGGGGCTTATATGTGGGTTAGAACTGCACTTCTACCGGGTTACTAAATGTTACTAAGTACCCTGAACCTCCACGATGAAGCCCCTTAGTTCCCAAGTTCCGTTCGGCTTAGGGTTCAGCGGTTGCCGGGTTCAGGGGTTCAGGGTTTCGGCGACGAACCCTGTAAACCCTAAACCCTATAAACCCAAAACCCTAAACCCTAAACCCTAGAAACCCTCGAAACGCTCGAAAAACCAAGAACCCCTAGAATCCTAGAAACCCCAGAAGCCCTAGAAACCCTAAAACCCTCTAAACCCTATAAACCCTCTAAACCCCCTCAACCCTATCAGCTCTAAACCCTCTAAACCCTATAAACCCTAATAAACCCTAATAAGCCCTAAAAACCCTACAAACCCATTCGCCCAGGCTCCTCAGCTTTGGCCAGGCCCCGTCCTCGCTGCTCGAGGTGCGCCAGGCGCAGCTCCAGGAGCTGGGCAGGGTTTAGAGGGGCTCCAAGGGCCAGTGAAGAGCGCTTCTAAGGGTTTAGGGTTTAGGGTTTAGGGTTTGGGGTTTGGGGTTTGGGGTTTGGGGTTTGGGGTTTGGGGTTTGGGGTTTGGGGTTTGGGGTTTGGGTTGTAGGGTTTAGGGTGTAGGTCTGTCGAATGGAGTGCTTCATTGTGCGTTGGCTCCAGGACGCAGGCCATGCCCATCAAATGCAGTCATGCAGCAGTGTCAGTCGTTTTTGGCCCCCCATTGTCCAAAAACGAGCTTTGCTGCTTTGCAGCTTTTGGGGCTTGAGGGCGTTCAGGTGGGCTTGTGGGCTCAAGGGCTTGCACGGTTTTTGATTTCAGGTCTGTAGGTCTTTGAGAGTTAAGGTGGAGGGTAGCCCACGCGATTCCAAGCACTGGAGACCTTTGCCCCGAGATCCCAGGAGCTGGCAGACACATTGGCGGGAGTTCGCTTCTACGCAGGCTACAAGGCAGTGTGGGTTGGACATGATGTGGAGCAGTGCAATGGTGTAAAGCAGCTTTTTTTGCAGCAGACTTGCCTGCATGTCCTCCGCACACGTGTCATTCTTCTGGGGAACCTACACAGAAGAGAGCTCGGTCATTCTGTGCCCCAAGCCAGGACAAGCTTGCCAGCCAAATGAAGACGTTGCCCAAGGCGCACAGCATACACCCTAAACCCTGAGCCCTACTTATGTGGAGCAGGATGCAACATGCTTGAGGGGCGGTGCTGGGTGCGTGGTTCCTCCAAAAATGAAGGGGTTTCTACATTACTGGCCCTTTCATTGTAGATATTACTATTCAACAGTAACGAGTCTGATCCCCCGGAATTCTGGTACATCTTCCGGAGTCTTTGAGCGGGTGTTAAGGTTGTGGGGCCACCTGAAAATTACAAGGTTCCAGTTCCTAAAAAGCCTTTGAGATGCTTCTGAGCTCATGAGCCAGCGACGCTCCCCCCCAAGGACTATTCTGGGATACACTTTTGCTGAGGGGGGGCCGGGGGGGCCTACAACAATCAGCATTCAACAACAAGTGAGGGTATAGGACACTTCCTTCATATGGTTTCGGGTGTGCAGCGCATATGGTCGCAGATTTGGTTCAGATCCCATTAGGCTTTAACACCCGAAATATCTTAAAATGGCAGCGTAGCCATGCGACAGGGGCGCTGGACTGCTTTGGAAGCATCGCTGGGTGCACCCGTGCTCCTGGACACCAAGACCAAGCCGTACAGGCGGGGATTTAGGATGTGGGGTTTCAAGTTCGACGTCCCTGCAGGCTTCAACTATTCGCGATCGCAAGCGAACCCCCCCCCCCCCCCCCCTCAAAAAACAGCAGAACGAGTCCCGAAACTACGTGAAGCAAATCCCTTACAACCCATCGACATTAGACACAGGAGAGCCAAAAGGGTTTAGGGTTTAGGGTTTAGGGTTTAAACCCTAAACTCCGAAGTTCTGAGCTCCCCAGTTAAGCCCGAGCCCTTTCGAAGCCAATGCTGCCCAAGGCTTACAATCAAGTTTTTTTTTGCTAGTTTTGCTAAATGTGTGTTAGTGTATGTTTGGTATCTTCAAGCATTTCTTTGCTTAGCTGTTTATGCGTGATAGTTTATTTTCGTTCTAGCACGTGCCTTCGTGGGGGAACAGAGCTCCAACAATTCTTCCAGACGACTCGGTTCGAAAGCAGCCAAACTCTGCACTCTTGAATCGTGCCTGTAGCCCTTTGTGTGTATGGCTGAGATGCAATCATGCTTCTTGAGTGGGCTTGGCACAACCCAAGAAACTGTAGGGAAGCAGGGCCCCAGGTAACCCCTAAAGCCCTCAGCCATAAACACTAAAACCTTAAAGCCCTCAACCCCTGAAACCCTCAGCTCCTAAACCCTCAACCCTACAACCCTCAAATCCTATAAACTCTCAACCCTAAACTCCTATCCCTCTCGGGTTTCAGCCCTAAACCCCTCAAAACCTTAAACCCTAAACCTCAAAACCCTCAACGCCAGGCCCCTGGCTGAGCTGCCCGGCCTCTTGCCGCTCTCTCGGTGGCAGGCTTACGATGCTTTGGCCGATGGCCCCAGGCCGGTGATGGACGGGTCTGGGGGTGGGGGTTTCGGGTTTCGGGTTTGGGGTTTGGGGTTTGGGGTTTGGGGCTTAGGGTTTGGGGTTTAGGGTTTGGGGTTTGGGGTTTAGGGTTTAGGGTTGGGGTTTAGGTTTTTTTTTTTTTTTTTTTTTCGGTTTTGGGGTCTAGGTTGGGATGTGCCCCTTGATACTAACAGTCCTTCATGGGAATTCCAGTACCCCCTATGATTCTCCTTGTGAAGGACTGCTAGTACAAGGGGGAACATCCCAGGGTTCATGGGTTTAGCGGGGTTTTAGAGGGGTTTCGGGTTCGCAGGGTTTAGCCGTTCACAGGGTTCGGGGGTTCACAGGGTTTAGGGCTTAAGTGTGTTTTGGTGGTTTCTATGGGAATAGCAGGTTCTAGGTTTCGCATCGTGGCTTTTTATTATAGAGTGTCGTATGTAGGGCCTGTTTTCAGGATCGTTCGGGCTTACAGTAGGGGGTTCTGAGGTTTGTAAGCCAGTGTCCTATGAGCTATTCAAGGCTTGCTGGCTTCTGGGAAAGACTTTACGTCATGTCGCTGTTGCGCAGCTTTTTGTGAGACCATCTTCCTCAAGATCACGCCAGCACCGCATTGAAAACGCAGCCTGAAAACCCTAAACTCCCAAACCCTACAATCCCAAACTCCAGGCCATACTAACCTTTACTTAAACCCTCAACCTCAGAAACCCGAAGCCCTAAACACCCTACAAGCCCTCTAAACCCTGTGCACCCTATACGCCCTATAAACCCTACACTCCCTCTAAACCCGCTAAACCCTCTAAACCCTCTAAACCCTCTAAACCCTCTAAACCCTCTAAACCCGCTAAACCCGCTAAACCCTCCAAACCCTCTAAACCCTCTAAACCCTCTAAACCCTCTAAACCCTCTAAACCCTCTAAACCCTCTAAACCCTTTAAACCCTCTAAACCCGCTAAACCCTCTTAACCCTCTAAACCCTCTAAACCCTCTAAACCCTCTAAACCCTCTAAACCCTCTAAACCCTCTAAACCCTCTAAACCCTCTAAACCCTCTAAACCCTAAACCCTAAACCCTAAACCCCAAACCCCAAACCCTAAACCCTAAACCCTAAACCTTAAACCCCTGAACCCGAAGTGTTCAGAGGCGTGGCTTCCTGTGCGATGGGCTCGTCTTCGCATCCCGGCTGCCCAGCGGCTCACCGGACCTGAAGTGGAAGGAGCCTCTTTGGGCGGTGTTTTGAGTTTTAGGGTTCAGGGTTTAGGGTTAGGGTTGAGGGTTTAGGGTTTAGGGTTGAGGGTTGAGGGTTTGAGGGTTTAGGGTTGAGGGTTGAGGGTTTGAAGGTTTAGGGTTGAGGGTTTTTGGGTGTCCAGGGTTGAGGGTTCAGGGTTGAGGGTTTAGGTTTAGATTCTGCTGTCGGTAGGGCCTTTGGGTCGACATCATGTTGTGGTTTCGAGTTTTGGGGTTTTGGTTTCTTGTGTAGGGCTGTAGATTGTAGAAGGTTACATTATGGTTGAGGGTTGGGGGCAGGAGCCTGTATGGGAAGGCTGATCTAAGCAATGAGTCTTTGTTGGTGCCTTATAATACATATACAAAAATGTAATTAGTATACTGCTTGATAAGAACCAGGGTTTAGGGATGCGAGGTTGGTTTCAGATGTCGACCCTTTTACGGCCGGCGGGTTCTGAGGGGAATGAAACCCCTAGCTCAAACCCCAGACTCTAAGTTACATGCAAACCTTCTGAAAGAGTGGTAGATGAGAGCAGCCCGCTCACAGTGGGTTGCAAGCGAAGGGTGGTTTAGGGTTTAGGGTTTAGGGTTTGGGGTTTAGGGTTTAGGGTTTAGGGTTTTAGGGTTTAAGGCAAGTCGCATCCGCTTGGAACTCCCCCTTGCCGCTAGCCAAAGCAATCTTGAGCCGTAAGCCCTACATCCTAAACCCTATAAACCCCATAAACCCTATAAACCCTATAAACCCTATAAACCCTATAAACCCTAAAAACCCTATAAACCCTATAAACCCTATCAACCCTATAAACCCTATAAACCCTATCAACCCTATAAACCCTTTAAACCCTATAACCGCTATAAACCCTAAACCCTAAACACCCACACGAATTAAGTCCAACGACCGGCCGCAGAGCAGCGACAGGAGTGCAAGAGCATCTCAGCAGACTTCCTGCTGCGTGGAAGGTGCTGGGGCGTCCCGAGAACCCTTTGATGCGTTGCGGAGCCCTTCATCCCAAAGTCTGAACTGGTTCGTAGTTCTAGGGACTTAGGCAGTGGGTTTAGGGTTGGGGTTTAGGGTTTAGGGTTTAGGGTTTAGGGTTTAGGGTTTAGGGTTTAGGGTTTAGGGTTTAGGGTCTAGGGTTTAGGGTTTAGGGTTTAAGGTTTAAGGTTTAAGGTTTGGGGTTTAGGCCTTCCCTGAAAGTGACCTTGGTTCCTCCTTCCCTTAGCTTCGAAGGCGACACAGAACTCCGCGTCCGAGACGCTTCGAACACAGAGCTCCGACCAGCTAGGCCCGAAACTCTAAGCCCTATAGACCTTAAATCCTAACATGCTTATATGCCTAAACCCTCAACCCTCAACCCTCAACCCGCAACCCTCACCCTCAACCCTCAGCCCTCAACCCTCAACCCTCAACAGTAACCCTAAACCCTCAACCCTCAACCCTCAACCCTCAACCCTCAACCCTCAACCCTCAACCCTCAACCCTAAACCCTAAACCCTACCCCTAAACCCTAAACCCTACCCCTAAACCCTAAACCCTACCCCTAAACCCTAAACCCTAAAACCCTGAAACCCTAAACCCACATCCAGGCGCCACCACAGTGCAACCGACTTCTTGGAGCTCCAGGTGCTGTGAACGCCTAAACACCAGTTCGTTTTCAGGATGTGGGGTTTAGGGTTTAGGGTTTAGGGTTTAGGGTTTAGGGTTTAGGGTTTAGGGTTTAGGGTTTAGGGTGCAGGGTCTGTAGGGATTCATAGGGCTTTGCAAATGTTTGTAGGGTTTATGGGGCATCCTGAGCCCTGTAAACCTCATAAACCCATAAAAACCGTTAGAAACCCTTAGAAACCCTATAAGCCCTCTAAAGCCCTCTAAACCCTATAAAAACCCTATGAGCCCTATAAGCCCTGTACGAACCCCTATATACACCCTATGTAAACCCTATAAACCACAGTTAAACCTTATAAGCCCTAAAGCCCAAGACCTGGCCCGAAAGACTTTGGACAGGCCTGGTGCCCGACGAGCCAGCAGCACGTCCCTTTCGAGCCCAAGGACCCACAAGCCATGGAAAGCTGGCTGGTTTGTATTTGTGAATGAGGGAAAGAGGGCCCTATATATATATACATATATATCTACCCTTTAAGCGGTTATGCAGGGCCCTTACTCCCTCATTCATTACTAAGAACCAGGGGGATAGACGCGGAGTCGGCCGAGAGCTTCGGCTGGGGGGTTGCCGCCAAAGCAAAGAATCCAAAAGGCGACCATTTTAAACAGGCTTCTTTTCCGATCATCTTTAGATACAAAAACACTATATGTAAATAAAAAAAGAAAACTTAAACATATATATATATATACATATATCTCAATTATGGTAGTGTTTGATGCTTTAGGAGGGTTGGGGGTTGTCAGGCCCTCCGCAAGAATGAACGTGGCAGAGTTCAACTCTGGCATTGGGCGTGCATGGTGTTAGGCTCAGGTGGGGCTGCATTCGGCCTCTTATGTTGAAACATTCATAAAATCCCGGTAGTTCCCCTAAACCCTAACCCCTGAACTAAACCCTAAACCCTAAACCCTAAACCCTAAACCCTAAACCCTAAACCCTAAACCCTAAACCCTAAACCCTGGGCTGGACCTTGAGCGAAGCAGGACAGCTCAGTGCCGAAGGCTTGCTTGCTGCCCGAGGCCTCCGGGGCAACTTTGCCAAAGACGCTTTCGGCCGCTCTCCAAACGTAAGATTTCAATTGTTTTAGGGCTGCTCGTGTTTGTTACTGTTGCCCTTAATATCCCCTATACATAATCCTGATAGAGCCATGACATCTCAATTTTTATAGGGCTCCCCCCCCAAACCTCCCCGAACGTTGAAACCCCGCAAGCGCTGTATTCTGGCAGCCAGGGCGCAGTGGATGACTGCCTGCTCTCCTGGGAAGCCATCGCCGAGTTCACGCTCAAAGGCTGGGGCGCCCCCCCCCCCCCGCCCCCCGGTGAGATTCCCCATCCCTTTCGGGTTTCGGGTTTCGGGTTTCGGGTTTAGGGTTTAGGGTGTTCTTGCAGTAGGGGGAATGTGATATTCGGGGAACTCTCCGACATGAACACAGGCGCATGCTGTGAGCTCTCAAATTGTGGTCCCTGTTTTATGCGCCTTACTCATAACTACATGGTTTAGGGTCTAGGGTTTTAGGGTTTAGGGCTTAGGGCCCGTAGTATAGACTCTGCCTCGTTGACTTTAAGCTGACAGTCCTGGTGTCCGAGCTGGGGGTTGTTGGACGATTTTGGTGGGTCTCGGCCATCTCCCAAAACAAGCAGCGTGCCAACACAAAATAACTATAGGGCCACTATGGGGCATCCAACGTTCGGAGTTGCACAGAATGTACCAAGCCCAATATGGCCACCCTGTGAAGCCATAGGGTTTAGGGTTTAGGGTTTAGGGCTCGGTGGAAGGGTTAACGCCCTAAAGCCCAGACCCTAGGCCTTAAATCCCCAACCCAAACCCTGACCCGAAACCCAAACCCCGAACCCCAAACGCAAAACCCTAGACCCTATACACCTGAACCCCCAAACCCCTAACCCTAAACCCCAATCCCTAAGCCACCCCGAACTGGGGAGGTGGGCGCTGGATCTTCCAACGATTCCGGGCTGACAAAGCACCGCCGCCGCAGCAAGAACAGAGTTTTCGGGTCATTTAGGGATATATAGGGTATATACGGTGAATTCTCTTGAATATGGTCCCGTATGGGGTACCAAGCAAGGGACCATTATTTTGGGAACCGACCAGATGTGTGTGTATATATACATATGTGTATACATACATACATGCATACATACGTAGGTACATACATACATACATACGTGCAACTATATATATATATATATATATATTTATTTATATCTAGTATATTTGTATGGACGACCCCCTCCCAGGACCACACCTTGTATCTAGGTATTCAACGAGTGTTGTTTATGCCCTGTTTGCTGCGCGTGCATGTATGCATGTATGTATATATGTATATGTATATGTATATGTATATGTATATATATATATATATATAGATGAATGTATGGCTCCTAGAACTTTATGGTTTAAGGTTTTGCTAGTGCAAGTTGAACTTGTTTTGCAGGATGTAAGTTGACCAAAAGGGTTGCGAAAAATGTGAAAACCCTACGTGCAACCTTGTTTTGGGTGATGCAACCTTATGACTATCCCTTGGGATGTTCCCCTACACTAACAGTCCGTAAGTAATAGGGACTCGATTAGGGAGTTACTATAATCCCAACGAAAGGACTGCTAGTATAAGGGGGGAACATCCCAAACTAGCCCATGAGCCCTTTACTCTCTTCCCCAAGCTTAAGCCCCCACGCGCCAGACCTTGAACCTAGCCTGAAGTCATAGCCTCAAGTCATGAGCGCTAAGCGAAAGCGCAAGAAATAGGTGCATGCCAACACGGCCGACACTGTGGCTGCTATCCTCGAACTGGCGAAGTCGCCGATCACGGCCGAGGCAGAGTGCGACGAGGGCGCAGTTCCTTGGGGCCTATTGTAAGCCTGTAACATAGGGTTTAGGGGCCTAGTATGGCTCAGTTCCTAGGTGCTTTTTCCGTCTTCTGACTTCGGGCTTGCCGGGGTTTGCAGGTTCAGGGGTTCGGGGTTTCGGCTCTTTCCAGGGTTTCCGCAGTAGGTTGCCTTTTTCGAAGGGACCACATCTCTTTGAGAGAGCGCTTCTGAAACCGCCCAGTGCAGAATCCTATAAAATCCTACATCCCTTAACCTTAACTTAAAACCCTAAACCTTAAGATCCTAAAACCTTAAAACCTGTAAGACTTAAACCAACCTTCAAACCTTAAAACCTTAAAACCTTAAAACCTTAAAACCTTAGAACCTTAAAACCTTAAAACCTTAAAACCTTAAAACCTTAAAACCTTAAAACCTTAAAACCTTAAAACCTTAAAACCTCAGAACCTTAGAACCTTAGAACCTCAAAACCTCAAAACCTCAAAGCCTTAACGCCTTAAACCCTTAAAACCTTAGAACCTCAAAACCTTAAAACCTCAAAACCTCAAAGCCTTATCGCCTTAAACCCTTAAAACCTTAAAACCTTAAAACCTTAAAACCTCAAAACCTCAAAACCTTATAACCTTAAAACCTTAAACCTTACGACCCTAAGAGCCCTAAACCCTAAGGCTAACCCCAAGATCCTGAATGCGCAAAAAGCTTTGGAACCCCGTACTGGGTTTAGGGTTTAGGGTTTAGGGTTTAGGGTTTAGGGTTTAGGGTTTAGGGTTTAGGGTTTAGGGTTTAGGGTTTAGGGTTTAGGGTTTAGGGTTTTACTGCATGGGTGAGTCACTTCCAAGCCTGGGGTCTACGTGCCAAGGCAGTGGTCACAGAGTCCTTGAGTCATGCGTATAAGGGTTTAGGGTTTATGGAGTGTTGATCTTAAAGAGTGTGAATCATCAGGGTTTGTAGAGTTGAGGGTTTCTCGGGTTTAAACCCTAAACCCTAAACCCTAAACCCTAAACCTTAAACCCTAAACCCTAAACCCTAAACCCTTTAAGGTTTATGGCATGTAGGGTTCAGGGTGTGAAGACTCTTTTGCTCAAGGGACTCTACCTTCAATAAGGTGGTACCCTTGGGTTTGGGGACCCTTGTTAAGGATCCCCTAGAGGAATACAAGGGCCAGATTGGGAGTATAAGGGGAACCTTTTGGGGTGCAACCTTCGTGGTACGAGTCTTAACCCCCTTGACGTGCGAGTCACCGCGAGGACTTGGCATCGTGCATGCGCATGGCCGGAAACGACGCGGGGCACTTTGGCTCGGAGGCTGCGGAGGAGTGGTTCAGTCAAATCGGAATGACGGCTGAACACCTTAAGCCCTACGCCTAGAACCCTAAGCCCCAAACCCTAATTAAACTCAATATATTAATCAAGTGGTCTAATCATCTAATGATATGTTGGTGGGTACTTGTGGCTCGCTCTGTGTCTGGTGCCTTGAGGCATGGGGACAGGTCTTTCATCCATCCGATGCCCCGCAAACCGAAGAACCCTTGAAAATGCGCACTCCAAAACCCCCCAAACCTCGGCTCTGCATCCCTGTACCCCCCAAAAAAAAGCCTTAGGCAAACACGTAAACACCCCAGAAGAAAGCCCTGTAAGCCCTATGAAACCCGCTTAATAACCCTGTAGACCCTATGAAAACCTACTGAAACGCTGTAAACCCCATAAAGACCTTTTCACACCATGTGAAATCTATGAACGCCCCATCAAAATCTCCTTTTTTCTCTGTCTAAAAGCCCTTGTACCACCCCCCCCCCCCTGGTTCCCCAGCCCTAAACCCTAAACCCTAAACCCTAAACCCTAAACCCTAAACCCTAAACCCTAAACCCTAAACCCTAATTTCGGAAACCCCCGTGTCCGCCCAGGTACTTCAGCGCAGCCTCTGAGGACCTCCGAACTGGGCCACAGCTCCGGAGCCTCTGCGAGGCTTCCCGAACAGGGCACCGACCCAACCCGCATTGTAGAATTTTATGGCCTGTTTTAAGACATATTATACTATAAACAATCAAACAAATAAATAAGTGAATAAATATATAAGTAAGCAAGTAAATAAATATACAATATATATATGTATATATATATATTGTGTATATGTTTATTTACATCAGGAGGAAGAAAGTTCTGTCGCACTTGCATATCTTGCGTTAGTGGATGCGGAGTACGCGGAAGTGCATTTTGTGTGGCCTGGCCGGCGGAGGAATTTCCGCGCTGTTTTAAACATATAGTACTTTTTTGTTCCGACGGAGGACTCAAAATCCTCCGCGCCCCAGAGACACATCTTGTGCAGGAGTCTATGGGGGTGGGGGGTTTGCACGTGCATGGTGGCATAAGTCCCCGATGCGACGAACTTTCGTCCTGGCGCAGTATTTAGTTATAGGTATTTGCTCTTTTATGAGTAACGAGGGTTGGGTTTAAGGTTTTCCTCGTTTGTGGGTTGACAAGGTTGTGTATACAATTGTACTCTTCTTGGGTGTTTGTTTGTGGGGTGGGGGAGGGGGGTGGTACCCGGCACTGGCTCATGCGCGATGATTATTGAACCCTAAAAACCCTGAACCCTAAACCCTATAAACCCTAAACCCTAAACCCTAAGCCTAAGCCCTATAAACCCTAAACCCTAGGGCGGTTGCTCTTTTTGCAACCAGGCGCATCGCCTAGCCAAGGCGGTCCTGCCCCTTGGCCTTTTTGATTTCGCAAAGCCGGCAAGGGTTTAGGGTTTAGGGTTTAGGGTTTAGGGTTTAGGATTTAGGGTTTAGGGTTTAGGGTTTTTAGGGTTTTTAGGGTTTTTAGGGTTTTTAGGGGTTTTAGGGCTTTTAGGGTTTTTAGGGTTTTTAGGGTTTTTAGGGTTTTTAGGGTTTTTAGGGTTTTTAGGGTTTTTAGGGTTTCTAGGGTTTTTAGGGTTTTTAGGGTTTTTAGGGTTTTTAGGGGGTTTAGGGTTTAGGGTTTAGGGTTTAGGGTTTAGGGTTTAGGGTTTAGGGTTTAGGGTTTAGGGTTTAGGGTTTAGGGTTTAGGGTTTAGGGTTTAGGGTTTAGGGTTTAGTGAACCCTTTTCCCTAAACATCCTACCCTGGACATCTTCAGAGAAACCTCGAGCCTTACACCCACCAGGAGTTGACGATACCGAGCTCCCAGGGCTGCGTTGCAGTTGAAGTTTGTCAAACTCTCTGCGAACATGGGGGGTTTCCTAGATTCGGGGGTACCTTATTGGGGTCCTTGTTATCAGGGATCCTGCCATCTGGGGATCTGCGAAAGTCAGGGTGTTTGAGCCCAGTCAGGACCTCCTAGTCAGTTCCGAAACCCCAGACTCCACACCCTGGACCCTAAACTCTACACCCAAACCCTAAACATTACACCCTAAACCCTGAGCCCTGAGCCCTGAACCCCCTCAACCCTAAGCTCTGCATCTTGAAGCCTAAACCTAGGGTCTAGGGTTTAGGGTTTAGGGTTTAGGGTTTAGGGTTTAGGGTTTAGGGTTTAGGGTTTAGGACCCTATGCCAGGCACCAGGCCTTCAGTGGCCCCTCCGTCCTGGACGTGGGCGCTGGGCGCCTGGCCGACGTGCAGCTCGCGCTCGTGTGTGGGGCGGCCGAGTTTCCGGGGTCGCTTCGGTTTAGGATTTCGGGTTTCGGGTTTAGGGTTTAAAGGTTTAGGGTTTAAAGGTTTAGGGTTTAGGGTTCCAAGTATGGAATCAGGAGATTCGCCCCGTGAAGGCTTCTATGGGGTAAAGGTACCTGTAATTCCTGAGTTCTCTACTAAGAACTAGCAGGTTATGCAGGTTCAGGGAGACCATAGGCTTCTGTTTCCCTAAACCCCATGGACCTTCTTTGCTTCTCGATTCGCTTGAACCTGATCGTCTTTGATTCAAAGAGGTATCCGTCTGTAAATGTCTTGTTGATACGTCTTTCTGACTATCACATTCTTGTTTATTGCTCACAAGGTACATGTACCTAAGCCGGGGTAAAACTGCCTTTCATGGCTACAAGTTTGAGTTCTGCAATGGGGACCCCGGCGAAGAAAAGACTCATCAAGGCTCTTGATAGGAGCACCCGATCCTTTAAGAACACCAAATGCTAAAATCACCTCCAAGCCTCAAAGCCCCAGGTGACTGTTCTATGTTCCTCAACCTCAACCGATGGTATCTACACCCAATTGCTGTGGGCATGTAGGCTGCAACAAAACCTTACATCCCCCACAGCACCCAACGCACTAAAACCCCCTGGTTCTTAGTAGGGAATGAGTCGGACTGAGGGAATTAGGGCCCCATATATACCCTTTAAGAGATTCTATAGGGTACCTCGTTCCCTCATTCCCTACTAAGAACCAGCACACTAAAATCCCGTAGAGGAGCCCGAATGAATTTCACAATCCTCCCTGAACCCCTGAATACCTGGGAGGTGCCCAAGTGCAGGAGCTGCTCTTGGGGGTGTGTCCGTGCACACTTGGGGAGGGCTTCGCTTGCTACTAGGGGCTCTGGGGGTTTTAGGGCTTCGGGTTTAGGGTTTAGGGTTGAGCACACAGACGAAGCTTGAGAATAAGGGTCTGTTTGCCGATGAAGGTTGATTAAGGCTGATGACTCTGGTCCTCTTCTACCTCACAAACTTAGCGTGGCGAAATACTGACTGCCCACCCGACCTGCCCAAAAAAAACCCACTGTATCATCTACTTACATAAGCCTAAAAAGTTGAGGGACGTGCACCTGTCGCCCGAAAGGCCCTGCAGCCTAAAAAGGCCAAACAAGCACCTGGAGTTCATGAGTACCTTGGCCCCAAAAAGCGCGCAGGAGCTCGTGGCCGTGGACCGGGATCCCCAGGCCATGGGTTGGGATTCGAGGAGAGAATGGCGGTTCGAGACTTCCTGGGTTCCCTTGAACCCTAAGCCCAAACTCTAAGCCGACTAAACCCGAAACCGACCAAGGCTCTGAACCTGGGGCTTAGAGAGGACCTGGAAGAGTTCGTGGAGGAGATATTGGGTTTCGGGACTCGGGAGTCGGTGCTGGTTTTTGGGAAGAGGCTTTGGGTTCTGAGGCCGGAATTTGGAAGAATCAGGGGGTTTGAGTGAGTTTCGAGGTTCCGGGAGGAGGAATGGGTTTGGGGTTGTCTAAACAACCTGCGCAATCGCCCCTAAACCCAAAATTCGACTGAACCCTCCTCTCCCCTAAACCCTAAACCCTAAACGGCCCTAAACCCTAGACCTTAACCCCAAAACAGCAAAGCCTAAACAGCAAACAGCACATTCTCCATCCTTGGGCTTGCCGCCAGGCGCTGTGCCACGGCGTTGCCAGGCCCTGGGCTCAAAGGGTTTTCGGGTTTGGGGTCTAGGTTGTTCATGAAGAGGTCGAGACAGTTGTTTCGCTACATCAGGCTCCTGTTTTGATTGCTTTTCTGGGAGGGGTCTCGTTGTCGTTTTGCAGACCCCAAATTCTAGTTTAGACAAGTATCCATGCATTGCGCTGCTGGTGACCGCTGTTATTAGGGGGCAGATACCGTAAACCCGCGGTTGCCCAGCCCCGATGTATTCACTGTTAGCCCTTGGTGTTTGGATCATGGTGGTTTTGCTTATTGATTTAGTTATTTCAATCTACGGGCATTGTACTTGAGCATACTATGCTCTTTCGTTTTATATCGTACTACACGATGCAACATGTTACTACACGACGCAGCATGTCTTCATGTGGCTTTTTATGATCTATGTTCAGTATGTGTGAAGGTCCAACCTCCACTTGAGAGCAGCCCAGGGCCCCGAAAGCGGGGCTTGGGGTTTGGGTTTGGGGTGTAGGGGTTATAGGGTTTAGGGCTTCCGGGTTTAGGGTTTAGGGCTTAGGGTTTAGGGTTACAGGCTTCCGGAGTTTAGGGCGTTGGGCTTTCCGGGTTTTTCCAGAAACTCCAACCCATGGCAGGCTGGAGGAGTGGGCGGAGAGGGAAAAGTGGACATCCAGGAGACTGCACCTTGGCGCCGCCCAAAGATTCCCCTAAACCCCGAAAGCCCAAAACTCCCGAAACCCTAGCCCTAAACCCTAACCCTAAACCCTAAAACGTAAACCCTAAACCCTAAGCCCTAAGCCCTAAACCCTAAATTCCTAAATTCCAAACCCCTAAACCCTAACCCCTAAACCACCCTAAACGGCCCTCCACCGGCGGGCTTCTTCGGTTCGGCTCCAAGTGATGGTCCCTCTTCGGGGGCTTGGCGGGAGTGGCTAAACCTAAACCCTAAGCCCTAAACCCTAAACAATAAACCCCAAACCCTAAACTCCTAAACCCTAAATCCTAAACCCTAAACCCTAATCCTAAACCCTAAGCCCCAACTCGAAAACCCTAAATTCTAATCCCTAACTCTAAACCCTAATTTTGAAACCCTAAACCCTAACACCCGGACCAAAGTTTATGAAACCTTACCATATGTACATGTGCATGTGGTCCGTGGTCCCCGTTTGGGTACCCGCCACATGTGCGGCCGCCTTACGAGAGATATCCCCGAAAGGGGCCCTTTTTAGAGAAGCGACCATGTGTATGGATCTAAGGTCCTAACCCTCAACCTTCAAACCTACGCGCTAAACCCTATACCCTGGACCCTAAACCCTAAACGCCCTAAACCCTAAACGCCCTAAACCCTAAACGCCCCAAACCCTAAACGCCGCAAACCCTAGACCCTAAACCCTAAACCCTAAACCCTAAACCCTAAACCCTAAACCCTAAACCCTAAACCCCAAACCCCAAACCCCAAACCCCAAACCCTAAACCCTAAACCCTAAACCCTAAACCCTAAACCCTAAACCCTAAACCCTAAACCCTAAACCCTAAACCCTAAACCCTAAACCCTAAACCCCAACCCCTCTGAGCCCCTAAACCCTACTGCCCGGCAAGGCGCCTGCGGCCCTCTGGCGGCCAAAGGTTGCCGCAGCCGCACTCGGAGCCGCGTGCCTGGTTGGGGTTTAGGGTTTAGGGTTTGGGGTTTAGGGTTTAGGGTTTAGGGTTTAGGGTTTGGGGTTTGGGGTTTGGGGTTTGGGGTTTAGGGTTTAGGGTTTAGGGTTAAGGTTTGGGGGTTAGGGTGTAGGGTTGTGGACGTAGGGTTCAGGGAATTCAGGTTTAGGGGCCCGTTCTGTTTCCCAGCACCCGCCTACAACTTATGGGTGGCTGGTAGGGAATGATGGCCACTACATGAGTACCTGATAAGCAACAGCACGACAAGTGACGACGATCCACAAAGCACCCTAAACTCAAACCCCTGAACTCCTACTCCCCCACACCTCGAAACCCCAAAAAACCCTAAACGCGAAACCCTAAACGCTAAACCCTAAACCCTAAAACCCTAAACCCTAAACCCTAAACCCTAAACCCTAAACCCTAAACCCTAAACCCTAAACCCTAAACCCTAAACCCCACAAGCCCCTAAACCTGAAACCTAAAACCAAAACTGAGGCTCCTGGTCAGCCCCATGGTGGCGGACCTTCGACGGGAGGATGCCCTGAACGTCCTGGGAGGCCCTGGGAGGGATCCCAAGGGTTCAGAAGGGGGTTGAAAGGGCTCAAGGGTTCAAGGGTTCAAGGATTAGTGGGTTTCGGGTTTAGGGTTTAGGGTTTAGGGTTTAGGGTTCAGGGTTTAGGGTTTAGGGTTTAGGGGCGGCATCAAGCAAAACAGAATGAAGAGGCTCTTGCCCTAACCGCCGGAACTCTCCGCAGGCCGCCAGTTCAACACCATCTGCTGCCACTTTGCGATCCACTACTTGTGGGACTCCGAGGAGGACCCAGGGAAAGGGGGGGGGGGTGCCGAAACCTTGGGGAGGAAGGGCGAACTGAGCAAGTAAGAATGGGGATCATCTATCCCATAAATTCGTCCATACTGCTATCTTCTTTACGAAGGTCCCCAAACCTAAGTCCTGAGCCCTAAGCCCTAAGCCCCAAAACACCCTGAACCCTAAACCGAAACCGAAGCCGTAAACCATACTCCTACATGCGCGATGATAAGGTACGGGGACCCCAAACCCTCTTGCGAGAATGCTCGTCGACCTCACATGGCCCCCACTCCCCGCCACCTAAGTTTCCCCGAAGCCCCCGTGCACCCGCGGCTTCTGGGGTTCCCTGCACCGCACTTTCCCTAAACCCTGAACCCTAAACCCTAAACCCTAAACCCTAGGTGGCAAGCTCGAAGCTTGTTGAAGTTTCGGGCTTCCGGGTTTCGGGTTGAGGGCTGAACCCCGCGGAAAATACCAAGGGATACCCCGGCCCTACCCCCCCCCCCCCCCCCCCCCCCCCCCCCCCGAAACAAAAAAAAAGATGCGGCCTGCGTACCCTTCTGATAATGCACCGTTGTGGAAGGAGCACTAAATCTTACATGGGCTGCCTTTCAAACTTGGCACCAAACTTTGGGCGAGTTGCTTCTCGACATGGGCTACTCCACGCAGAAATGGTAAGGAATGTAAGGCAAACTTACCCCAAGCTGCAATGTGGGGGTTTCCAAAATTAGGGGGTACCTTCTTTTTGGCTAGAATATCGGGGCCCCTTAGTGTCGCAAATCCCCCATGTGGGCCGCGGGCTTTTCATGTAAACACCCACCTCCATCCCTAAACCCTAAACCCTAAACCCTGAACGCTAAACCCTAACCCCTAAACCCTAAACCCTTATAAACCCTAAACCCGAAACCCTAAACCCTATAAACCCGAAACCCGAAACCCGAAACCCGAAACCCGAAACCCGAAACCCTAAACCCTAAACCCTAAACCCTAAACCCTAAACCCTAAACCCTAAACCCTAAACCCTATCATTCCATGGTCTCCCCTCCCCACAGGCCACTGCGCAGGTGCTGCGGCAGCTTAGCCGTCATCTGCTCCCCTGTGGCCTACTTGTAGTCGCTCGGCCTTATGAACCCGTCGGTCGTTCTCCACATTACTAGTCGGTTCCCTTTTGGGGGTCCCTATAAAGTACGGGCACCTTATACGATCGACCCCCCAAAAAAGGGCACCCAATTCAGAGAGCTGCCCAGGTACATGCAGCCACGAACCCTACATTTGGGATTTTTCAGTGTACCTAAACTCCATCAGAATAACAGCGGGTCATAGCTCCCAAGAAATTGAGAACAGTAATTTGTATATGTACATGAGTGCATATGTAGAGATGTGTTTATGTTTGCTCAGTACGTTCTTATGAGTGGATACCTGTCTATCTATCTACCTATCTATCTGTGCATACAGTTCTTTTCATATGCGTATAGACACATATACACATCTACATATTTACATCAATACATACATACATACATACATACATAAATACATATATACACATATATGCACAGATACATATGTTCCTCATGGGAACCCATCCTAAATCAGCTCTGCATCCTTCTGCGTGCTCCCCATGCTTTTGTCGTTGCGACTCCGGCTAGGGTTTAGGGTTTCGGGTTTAGGGTTTAGAGTTTCGGGTATTGTTACCGCTCCAAAGCATGTCCACTACGGTTACTATTTGTAGTGGTGTTCTGGTTTCAGTTGTTGTTATGTTTGTTACTCTTGCTGTATCTGGTAACTAGTACATTCATATGAAGATATTGACGGCTTCATCATCACCGTTCTCCTCTGTTACTCGTAGGAAGCACTTTCACATTTAGTCAGTCTGCTAAGGATTTTCCTCCCAACCGTCTTGAGCACCTAGCACTCACCTATCATCCAGGGCCCACATGCTTGGAAACCCTTGGAAGGCTTGATAGGGTCAGTGAGTAGGGTTGTGGGGGAGAACCATAGGGGTTCTAGGGGAGAACCAGTCCAAGAGGCTTCCAAGTGAACCCCAAACCCTAAACCCTAAAACCCTAAACCCTAAACCCTGAACCCTAAACCCTAAACCCTAAATCCTAAGCCCTAAACCCTAAACCCTAAACCCTAGGAAGCCACGCAGCCAGGTGACGTACATGGACAGCGAGATGCTGGAGCGGACTGAGGATGGAAGGCATCGCTTGGGCCTCCTTTTTGTCGCCATGTCAACTGTTGGGTTCAGGGTTTATTAGGGCTTATTAGGGCTGATTAGGGTTAACTCGGGTTTATTAGGGTTTATCAGGGTTTATGAGGGCTGATTACGGTTTATTGGGGTTCTGTGTTAGGGTTTAAGGAGCATGCCGATGCTCGGCAGGCACAAGGCCACAGGGCAACAGTTCCGTGCCTCACCGTAGTGGCTCGCGATCCGGCCGAAACGAGGACGTGCTCAGCAAAACATGTCAACGGAACATCCTCGGAGAAATCGAGCGAGCCCCTGGGACCTAACCTGGGCTCCCATTGAGCGACCAGGGCCCAGCACGGGCGGGACATTCTAAACCCTAAACCCTAAACCCTAAACCCTAAACCCTAAACCCTAAACCGTAAACCCGAAACCCTAAACCCTAAACCCTAAACCTGTATTGAGCAGGGTGTGTGCTTTCCGTGCAGGCTCAGGGCCATGGCCCTCCAGGAGGGTCCCAACGGGACCGTGACCTTCTCCGTGGTGCCGGGGGAGAACGACACGGCGGAGGTCTTCGTGGGCACCATCGGCAGGACTTCGGGTTTGTTCAACTTTGCCTGGAATTGGGGGGGGCATTTTGTGGGTTTTGGGGCGGGCTTGGGTGGGCTTTAGGGAAAACCTGACAGCAGCACATGGCCACATTTCGAGGGATGGCCGAGCCGTCATTCTGGTGGTTTCGGCAGTCCACACATCTTCGGCGGTCGGCTGTTGGAGCCCAAACTGAGTCCAAGTGAGTCATTGCTTATAATTACCACAAATTGCTTAAGAGGCCCCAAAGAAAGTATTTTTTCTTCGATCATCCCCACCTTCAGCCATAGGTTTCTTAGACCCCCCCCCCGCCCGAACCCCCCCCCCAGAACAGAGATAGCTTTCGAGCTATTTTGAGCCCGGCAGTGTTTAGTGCACGCAGAAGCTTCCCGAGGCAAAAAAGGCCAAATGAACATCAACTTGTGTCTTCGTGCTTCTTTATGTCTCGTTTTGTTTCGAATTGCTTCGAAATGTACCGACACGCCTCTACTCAAAATCGCTCGATTTGCTTCTCTGCTATTTGCACTTGCCAAGGCTTCTTGAACCTTGCGCGGGCAGAAGCAAATTGCAATTGGGGTTGGGCACTCCAGGAAGTCTCTGGGGTTGGGCACTCCCGGGAGTTTCTTGGGCACTCCTCTGAGGTTGGGCACTCCAGGGAGACCTGGGTTGGGCACTCCAGGGAGACTCTGGGGTTGGGCACTCCAGGGAAACTCTGGGGTTGGGCACTCCAGGGAGTCTCTAGGAGTAGACGGGCGAGGAGAAGAGTTCCGGGCGAGGAGAAGAGCTGAGTTTGAAGTCTAACAACCCCACACCGAAGGTGGGAATGAAAATATTATTCCTTAACAAGGGCAATATGGGGATTATTATTCTTTATTCTTCTGGGGTTCTTAAGCAAATAGTAGCTTAGACGCATGTTTCGAAAGTGCCCGTACGCCCTTACACGAATGTGTTCATCAAAGACGTTGCTTCTGGAAAACAAGTTGCAGCTCTACCTGCTGCAAGAGATGCCGCAGGCTCCAACTCCCCAAGATTCAGAGTTTGGGTCTGTACTCACCATGAGTGCGGGTGAGGAGAGGGGGGCGCTTTCCTCGACATAAGCCTTCGGGTAGTGCCGATATGCACTCCCCTGTGCACCCTTAAGCGCCCCTAGGATTCGGGATGCACCCCCGCACCTTGCGCCGAAGCCTTCCAGGACACACTCTGAGCACCTCGTCTCCACGTCTGCGCTCCTCTCGCGCTTCGCGCGCGCCGGCCGGGTGCTTAGAGTCGAGGGGTCGCCTTTGGGGGAATCCTTGGAGTCACTGTTACTTGGTAGCCAAGTGGTGCCCTTCCGTGGTTTTGGCGACATGGTTCCTGGGCTGCGAAGACGAACACCCTCAACTCGAAATGCGCACATGGTGTCATGGAGACACTAAACCCAAAACCCTAAACCCTAAACCCTAAACCGTAAACCCTAAACCCTAAACCCTAAACCCTAAACCCTAAACCACTTGCTATTCGAGGGGAAGTCTGGATCTGAGGTCAGAGTTGCACGGAGGGGGCTGGCGGAACCCTATACACCCTAGGGGCGAAGCCCCCCATGGGTTTAGGGTTTAGGGTTTAGGGTTTAGGGTTTAGGGTTTAGGGTTTAGGGTTTAGGGTTTAGGGTTTAGGGTTTAGGGTGCAAGGCCTGCATTGCAGCGATGCTGATATGCTATTCTGGTCGCCTCCTTTGCGAGAAGAACCAGCAAGAGGTAACTTCAAGGCTTTGTTTTGCTTTCTCAGACCCATTGCAATCCATAAAGCCCAAAACCCTAAACCCTAGATCCTAAACCCTAAACCCCCCTAAACCCTAAACCCTAGACCCATTGGGGGCCCGAAGCCCAAGCAAGGCTTCACGGCTGTGTGCAGCGGCCTCCTTCGCGACCTGGCTCGGACCACCACCACGCTGCACCCGCCAGGACTGGGCACGACGTTTGACTGGCTCATCTTGTGTCACAAGTGATTGCCCATATCCTCCAATTTCCCCACCCATAAGAAAAACAAATGAATATTACTAATAATAAAAATAATAGGATAAATAATCATCACGCAAGAAGTCAGAATAGATACTCAATTCCATAGGCCGTGCCCCCCCCCCCCCCCCTAGAGTACACAGAGGTCCGCGCAACAAGCTCTTTTGTCTCGACCCCCTCGAGCCCTAAACTTTGGCCCTTCTGGGCTGTGGCTTTTTGTTATAAGCATCCTCGGGTTCCCCTCTGCTTTGGTGGCTTTTTGTGTTTCCTTGGCGGTGGAGGTTGAGGGGATGTGTGGGGGTTTAGGGTTTATGAGTAGGGTCTAGGGTCCAACTCAGGCATATCCCAATCCCTTCGCGCAGGACTGGGACCGAGTCAGCCGCAGCAGTACGAGCAGATTCTCAGGCTCCCGGTTTCAAGTGGCTGCTTCGGGTTTGGGGTGAGCTTTGTCAGACAGGCGTAGATGAAGGGCATCAAGGGTGAGAGAGTTTCTGGAGGCGTTTGTCCCGCATCTTGTCTCGTTCAGAGAATCTCAGGTAAAATCTATAGAATTGAATAAGGCCACCTCAGCCCCCCCAAAGAATCTTCCCATAGAGGTGTAGCATCACCTTTGTCATAGTTGGGGGTACTTAAACCCAATAAGGGATATAAATTCACATGTTTAATACGATCCCAACCATCAACTAGTCACAGGGCAGAGCCAGGGCTTCGAGACGTCAGCCCCCCGTCGCGTCGAGGCTTTTCGCCTACGCGGTCTTCCGCCGCACGCCCGAAGCCGCACTGTTGGGGCGGTCCCCACATGAGTCCTTCCCGCAGCACGTGCCTCGACTTGCTACAGCGTTCTCTGGCTAAGCTCTGGTTTTTAGGGTTTGGGGTTTAGGGTTTAGGCTTCGCCCCCCCCCCCCCCGAACAAAAAAAGACAATCATCCCTCTCTTCCCCTAAAACGGATCTTAGCTACGGGGGGGGCTTCCAGGGTGTATGTTGGGAATGTTCCGCCTTATCCTAACAGTCCTTCATAGGGATTCTAGTACCCCCCTATTGTAGTAGTCCCTATTGAGGACCCCTAAACCCTAAACCTAAACCCTAAACCCTAAACCTAAACCCTAAACGGTTAGCAAACGGGGGAACATGCCAAGGTGTATGTCGGGTCCCGCAGGGAGACTGAGAAGTTTGTTCGTGTCTCGCGGGGCCGGGACCTGTGTGCAGCTGGAACTCTCTCCCTCAGAGCCACGGTTTAGGGTTTAGGGTTTAGGGTTTAGGGTTTAGGGGAGCCCCCAAACCCCTTAAAAGCCCTCCGCAACTCTGGCGACCTTCTAGACCCCTTCAAGCCCCAGAGTATAGTAAGCCCTGTCAAACCCTCCACCCTAAGCCCTAAACCCTAAACCCCTGAACCCTAAACCCCTAAACCATCCCTAAACCATCCCTAAACCATCCCTAAACCCCAAACCCCAAGCCCCTAAACCCCAAGCCCCTAAACCCCAAACCCCCAAACCCCAAACCCCAATATCCCCCCCAAAACCCCAACATCCCCCCAAAACCCCCGCAAAAACCCTGAGGTGGTCCAGCACGCCGTGGAGCTCCTTCCGGCCAAGGCCCTGGCGGCCCTGGGCGCCGCCTCCGCCTCCTGGCGCCGCCAGGGGCCCCGGCAGAAGGGTTTAGGGTTTAGGGTTTAGGGCTTAGGGTTTAGGGTTTCGGGTTTCGGGTTTAGGGTCCATGTGGTTTAGGGTTATAAGAGTTTAAGTCTATGGGGTTTTGGGTTTTCGGGTTTAGAGTTTAAGCTTTTAGGGTTACGGTTTGATGGTGTGTATGTGTTATATACGAACATGTGTGTTGCTTTCGTGTGTTTGTTTTTTGTTTTTTTTTTTTTTTTGGGGGGGGGGGGGTGAGGAAATTCTTTGCCGAAACGTCAGGTGCGGGGCTTGGGTCTAGGGTTTAGGGATGTTTAGAGTTGAAGGCTCAGAACCAGCTTTCATGCGTGCAAACGCCATGCCCCGAAACCGCCGCACACTGAACACTGATAAGTTGGGATGTTCCGCCCTTATACCAAAAGTCCGTAATAAGGATTATACTAGGGGGTACTATAATCCCCATTTTGGAGAGTTCGTATAAGGGGGAACATCCCAACTGATAAGCCTTTACGCGAATCAAGCGCGGCAAAGAGAGGCTTCTTGTCCAACGACATCGAGCTCCCAGCTCTTTCGGGCGACCTGCCTCCCGGAAGAATGAGTACGCCTAAGCCCTAAACCCTAGACCCTAAACCCTACACCCTAAACCCTAAACCCTAAACCCTAAACACGGTTTCGCGGGTGTTCGAGCCTCGGGCTCATAGGCCTTGTAGGGACCCTGGGCTGGGCTTGGGTTCAGGGTTCCTTGATGCGAGCGCCCAAAGGCCGGATCTCTGTTAGCCAGAGCGTAGATGAAGAGAGGCCCCTAAGCCCTAAACCCTAAACCCTTAGCCTTAACCCCTAAACCCTAACCAGGATGCCGAATTACCATTGTAAAAAACCCCTAGGATGGCGAGCGTCATTTTATGAGTTTCCCAGCTCAAGAGTCCATCAGATCCAAGGAGGCAGATGCCCTGCCGGCCTCAGAAGCTTGCCTTGAGAGTGTGGAGCTAGTACTACTGTTTGCTTTTAGGGTGTCGGGATTTAGGGGTTTAGGGTTTGGGGGTTTAGGGGTTTTAGGGGTTTAGGGGTTTAGGGGGCTTAGGGGTTTAGGGGCAAGTTCAGGGGTTTAGGGTTTCAGAACCCCTTCCCCCCGCCCCCCCTCCCAAAAAAAATTAAAACACAAAACAAACACAAACAGAAGATGATAATCCCTATGTGCCCCTTACTCTTTTTTTGGGCAAGTAGTACATTAACGGAGCAGATAACACATCTGAACTGGAACGAGAGAGATGCTGCGTGTTTGGGATGCTTGCTATAAGACCCTTCGAAAGGCCCAGAAAGATTTCCTCTCTATACCTAGGTTTCCGGGGACCAAGCTTCAAATTGCCTAAGTCCCGATACCTAACCCTGCGCCTGGTAGAAGTGTGCCATTCATGCACAAGATCGATGGCACTCTCAAATCCCAACACAGCCTAGGGCCGGGTGTACCTAAAGCCCTGAACTCTAAGCCGTAAACGCTATCGGGAATACTCACCAACCCAGGAGAGCTATTCCCTGCGAGCGCTGCGGTTGCAGCTGTCGTTTCGACTCCTTCGGCGAGCGCTTCTGGGACGGCTTCGGGTTTAGGGTTCAGGGTTTCGGGTTTAGGGTTTAGGGTTTAGGGTCAGGATTCTTCGGGGTTCAGGGAACCCTACATGAACGCGAAAGCCTTGAACCCTAAATAAGTCCCAAACCGATATGGGGCTCTTCAAGGGGGCCCATGCACAGATCCCGCGACTCCGGCGTTTTTACACGGACACGCTTTTGGGCTTTTGTGCACCTTCTTTGGGAAAATGTCAGTTGTTACCCTGAGCCACCCTAAACCCTAAAACCACCCTAAACCCCAAACCCCAAACCCCAAACCCCAAACCCCAAACCCCAAACCCCAAACCCCAAACCCCAAACCCCAAACCCCAAACCCTAAACCCTAAACCCTAAACCCTAAACCCTAAACCCGAAAGCCCCCAGACTGGCGCCAAAAGGCCACTGCTGGTGCGACTCTTGCTGGGAGGGCTGCTGGCGTCCTCGACGCTGCCCATGCAAGGCAGGAGCTGGAGAGACCTTGAGCCGGAAGAATGAGAGGCGGTTTGGGGTTTTAGGGTTTAGGGTTTCGGGTTTAGGGTTTAGGGTTTAGGGCTTAGGGTTTGTAGTGTGTAGGCTTAGGGAGACGAGAAATGGGTGAGAGAGGTTTCTGGGGTAGGGCAGAACCCTCGCCGCAACTACTCTGACCCTCAAAACGTGCACCGGGCCTCCCATGATTGAGGATTTGGGATTCTCAATTGGGCCTGTCGCCGCAGCTTGGGGCGCTTTTCGGGTTGAGCTCTACGTCGTTGCTCAGGTTTTGGGGCTGGGAGGAGATTCCCAAAAGCCTAAAACGAGGTGAGCTACCCTAAACACCCGACCCTTTATATTGCTCGAAAACCTGCTCGAAAGGAACAGATTTGAAGCAGCCCTGTAGGCACACCACACACTCTGTGTGCACGCCAAACCCAGCCCAGAAGAAAAGTTGACTGACTTATTGGCCAGGGCACTGAAAACCGAAGTCTTCCTGCTTTTTGAGAGCCGCCTAAACCCTGAACCCTAAACCCTAAACCCTAAACCCTAAACCCTAAACCCTAAACCCTAAACCCTAAACCCTAAACCCTAAACACTACAAAACCTTCAATCAATCCCTAAACCCTCAAAGCCCTATTCCCTAGCTCGCAGGTGTGCGGCTGCGCCCGCGCCTTCGACGACTACGGGGATCGCGTGTGTTGGTGTGACTCATGCTGCTTGGACTGCTTGGTGCGAGGCATTTTATGTGGGTTTGGACGGCCTCTTTTTCTTTCGTTGCTCAATGAACTGAAATCCCTAGAAGGGTCCATGTACCTATATAGTACGTACTTGGGCCTAAAAGAGGTTCTTATAGCAGCTTTAGGGCCCAGCTATATACCATATGGGTATATGTCTGCCGGGATTTAGGCACCCGCTGTGCCGCTGTGCCAGTACGTTTCAGCTCCGGCAAGCGGGCAACTCCCCAAATCCTCCGAATCCTGACCCCCCTACAGTCCCAAACCCTAAAGTCCCAAACCCTAAACCCTAAACCCTAAGCCCTAAGCCCTAAACCCTAAACCCTAAACCCCCAAAGGCTGGAAGGGCTGCCAAGCAGAGGACAGGGAAGACAGCTCTTCGGCAAGCAAGAGGGGGCTCGCAACCTCGCTCCCTGTTTAAGTTCCTGGGTTTAGGGTTTAGGGTTTAGGGTTTAGGGTTTAGGGTTTAGGGTTTAGGGTTTAGGGTTAGGGTTGAAGGGGATATTGCTGAAATGGCGTCCCCAACCTAGAGGCAAGTCTGAGGCATCGTGGGTGCAGGGCCGGAGCACGCGCAGCTGCTGTGGCTGTTTTGTGTCAAGCCTTGCCCTGCTTTTCCAACCCAGAAGTCCTGATGTGAGGCCCCTCTTGTCTTGCCCGCGAGAGGGTGGCTTTCTGAGGATCTGCTGTGTGAGCTCAGCAAGGTTCTTTTTTGCTTGTCACTGGCCGCCCTAAGGGAATGGATAAGATGATGAGCACCTGTGATGCAACACCTCCTCCGGGGCTAGCACGCAGCTCGCCGACTCGGGTGGCCCGGAACAGGTGGCGTGCGCTGAAGCTCCGTGTTCGCAAAGCTGTCATGAAGGCGCTGGCAAAGAGTTCTGCTTCGGAAGTCACCTTCGAAGCATCGCGCGACTCGGCCGACCACTCGGCCACTTTGCGTGACAGCGATGGGGAGACACAGTCCGCAGCAGCGACATATGGTTCTTTTCTCTCACAGCTGTTGAAGACATCTTCTTTGGGCCTGGCAAGCTCTTTCCACGCATTGACGGGCGGCAGGAAGGCAATGGTCGAGGGCGACAGCGAGACCTTTTTCCGTTGCCTTTGCTGCAGTCGTGGCCGGCAGGTCTGGCCTGCAATTCCGAGGCAGAAGATGGGCATCTGATGACGGCGAACTTGTGTCTGGCAGCTCTGAACCACTTGGAAAAAGGCATGCCCAGGAACGGCCTTGGGAGCGGTGCTTCTCTCGCAGCTTCCGAGGGCCAGAAGTCTGTTCAAACGCACGTTTGTGGAAGGGTACACCGTTTCCTCTCACGTTTGCACGAAGGGCTGGCTGGTGCTTTCAGCTGGCGTGGGGCTTTCAGCAAGTTGGAGGCATGCGAGAAAAGTGCCGTGGCGGTGCCGCTGCTCGGTGACAGCGTGGACCTGCCCGCGCGGGCTGCAACCTGTGACCCAGCAAATCTGGTGCCTGCAGACTTCTGGTCCAAGGTTTCAGCTCCTGGGGCCATTTTTGGTTCACAGCCTACCTCCACCCAGACCCCTGCCATTTCTTCCAACAGCCAAGACCGCCGCGAGTATTTGGTTCTTACGGGAAGGGAGCTCCGCTGCGGAAAACTTCGCCTCCGCTCAGAAGTTCGTGGCGTGGCAAAAGTCTTTGCCGTTCCAAAGTCGGAGCGGGGCCGGCAGCGTAAGATCTGGGACGGCTCACACCTCTCCGAGATGGCGAGCAAGCCGCCGAAACCGGAGAGGTTGGCCAACCCCAGCTCTTTTTTGGACATCTTGGTTCGTCCTGGGGAGCAGCTCTACATGTCCAAGAGGGATGCAAGCACCTACTTTGACTTGTTGGCTGCCCCCCCTGATCTGCAAGCTTGGTTTGGACAGGAACCTGTCACGGTGCAAGAACTCAGCGCTGTTGCTGGCATGACTGTTGAAGAAGTGTACTCCTACGTCGATGATCTGGACAGTCAAAGAGCTCTTGGGCCCAGGTCGATGCTTTTTCCTGTCAACACGGCGTGGCCCATGGGCTTCAGTTGGTCCTCGTGCGTCGCTCAAGGGAGTACACTGGGCACGCTGCGCTTCGCTGGCGTCAACGAGCAGAACATTCTGAGCTTGGACCACAGTCTGCCAGAGTCGCAAGAAGAGCTTTGCGCTGTCGCGACGGATGACGTGATCCTGTTCCACAGATGCAAGCGCAAAGGTCGTTCCACGTTAAGAAGACTTGATGCGAGCTTTGCGCAGCATGGAGTCCAACGCAACGAGAAGAAGGACGTGACGCTGGCTTCTAGTTTGACGGGTCTTGGTTGTGACATTAGCGCGTCGCCGCCCATTGTGCAGCCTGCGTGTGAGAAGCAAGCCCGACTTGTGCTCGCAACTTGCGACTTGTTGGCTTCCGAGATCGCCAGCCCAGCTGCAGTGAATGCTCTACTCGGCCTGCAACAGTGGTTTTGTTTACTGCAAAGGGGAATGCTCAGCATTTTCTCGGAAGTTTACAATTTCGTTCGGGAGCAGCCAGAGTCAGAGAAGCGGCGTGTTCCGGCCAGCGTTTTGGATGAGCTGTTCGTGTCCTTAGCTCTGGCTCCGCTTTTGCCAGCAAGCCTTGAACGTGAATTCCTTCCTGAAGTCTTGGCGTGCGATGCTGCTCCAGAGTATGGCTTCGGTGTAACCCTGGTCCAGTGTGGAAAGCGCATGGCAGAGAGAGTTGGCAGGCTGTCAGAGCGCAGAGGGGACTACGTCAGGCTGGAGCACTCAGCGGAAGACCCGCCCGAAGTTGAACGTTTGGGCACGCTTCACCGGATGCCGTTCAAGAAAACGGACTTTAAGCAGCTGATTTCGTGCAAGGCAAGATGGTCAGGCCACTCGGGCCTCCTGGAGTGTCACGGAGTTCTGCTGTCGGTGAAGTGGATTGCTAGAAGTCGTAGGAGGCATCACCGCCGCGCTGTCATCCTCGTCGATGCCAAAACCGCCATAGGCAGCGTGGCAAAAGGGCGAAGCTCGGCTCGCTCTTTGAGAAGGGTGTTGCGGAGCATCGCCGGACACGCTCTGGCAGCGGACCTTTTGCTGCGTCTGGTTTATATTCCACGGAGGACAACCCGGCTGATGGGCCTTCAAGGGGAAGGCGTCTTGTTGGGCGAAAGCGGGGCTCCTACCACTTCCGGTGATCCTGACTTCGGAGATGTTTTTCACAGGCAAGAGTTTTTCATGCATGCGATGACTGATGTGCCACTGACGCTCACTGCCATGCAGCCGGGCTCTTCGCGAGTGGTGTTCAGGGCTCCTGGACTCCACCTTCGACAAGCTTTGGACGGAGCTTGGAGCTGCTGTGTGGTTGCTGGGCTCGCGATCTGCGTCCATTCGCGTAGTGCTAGCATGCCTGGTAAATCTGTACTTGTTCCTCTGTCGCCGCTAGAGGGCGAAAGGTTTTTGGTTTTGCCTGCAAGGGGCTCTCACATGCTTCGGCCACTCGGGTGAAACTCGTGTCCAGTGCGGGGAGATGGGTGCTTCGAATTGAAGGTGCCCCTTCTTAATGCGCATCTTGAGATGCGAATCTCTACCTCGCAGTGGCCTCAGTTTAAAAAGCTGTGTACGTCGCCTCTCTTCGGCAAGTGCGGTGGAGCCTCTTTGAAGCAATGAAGGGGATATTGCTGAAATGGCGTCCCCAACCTAGAGGCAAGTCTGAGGCATCGTGGGTGCAGGGCCGGAGCACGCGCAGCTGCTGTGGCTGTTTTGTGTCAAGCCTTGCCCTGCTTTTCCAACCCAGAAGTCCTGATGTGAGGCCCCACCCACCCACCCGGGTGCTTCGAATTGAAGGTGCCCCTTCTTAATGCGCATCTTGAGATGCGAATCTCTAAATGCGCATCTTGAGATGCGAATCTCTACCTCGCAGTGGCCTCAGTTTAAAAAGCTGTGTACATCGCCTCTCTTCGGCAAGTGCGGTGGAGCCTCTTTGAAGCAATTAGGGTTTAGGGTTTAGGGTTTAGGGTTTAGGGTTTAGGGTTTAGGGTTTAGGGTTCAGGGGTAGGCTGAAGCGACATAGATCTTGCCTCACAGCTGGGTTTCGTGTGCCTTTTTGTGAAGGGCAAGTACCGGGCTACTTGCTCTGTTTGGGATCTCTATGTTTAGGTTTTCAGGCGGGCACCAAGCCCTAAACCTAGATCCCAAGATGGGCCCTAAACCCTAAACCCTAGCCCTAAACCCTAAACTTTGGACCTAGACCCTAAACCCCAAATTCAAACCCCCAAAAGTTGCCCTTGCAAAGAGGTATCCCCGATCCCTTGGGCTGCCGCTGCGGCCAGCGCGGCTGCCCCGGGGAAGCCTGGAAAGCTGAGGACCTGGGGGGGTGGGGGGGGGGGGGAATTCCGGCGGGGGGGGGGTTACGAAATTAGGGGTTTAGGGTTTAGGGTTTAGGGTTAACCCTAAACCCTAAACCCTAAACCCTAAACCCTAAACCCTAAACCCTAAACCCTGTGGTTGCATACCTTATAGAACCCAGGGGCCCATGCAACTACCCAAAGATTAGCCTTTAAACCTTTAAATCCCTAAACTGTGCCTCCATGCAAGGACCCCCCCCTCTTCCTAAAAAAAACAACCACGCACGCACGTTGGGGGGGTTTAGGGTTGAGGCTTTTCGGGGGAGAGATCCCCAACAAGAAGGGTTTAGGGTTGCCCTTTTTGGGGTCCATCTTACCATTTGGGGGTCTAAATTGGGGTTGCCCTGTTTTCGTACACCCCTGCGTGGGCTGAAGCTGACTGGTTCCGAGTAGGGAAGTAATTAGGACATTCATGGAATTCGGGTCCGTAAAGTCCGTAAATAGTCCGTGAAAGGGATTAAGTATAGATAAATAAATAAATAAATAACATATATATATATACATACATATATATATGAATATATATATATATATATATATGTACTTATTTATTTATGATTATACTTATTCATGTATGTATGGAGGGTGTAAGAAGAACCTGACTCCCTATAAGCCCTGCGTAAGAGCCAGCGATAGGCCCGCTGATATCCCTTGATAGGCCCCTTGTTGAATCGGTTTAGAGTTTAGGGTTTAGGGTTTAAGGTTTCGGGTTTAGGGTTTAAGGTTTAGGGATGTCAGCAGAACAACCCTCAGCCGTCCGATGCGAATGTGGGATTCGGGGGTTTTTTTCTCCCGGAGAGCCCCAATACCCCTTTGAGATTCTGGAATCTACCTCAGTTTATACAGAGATCCTGAAGATGATCCCTGATAAACAGAACAAAACGGGTTCTTCCTTGTCTCCAAATGTATAGGGGCGCCCTCAACCCTACAGACCCGATGGAGAAAGCAGCCTGAGCCTTCGGAACCCTGAGCCCTTACGTTTGAGTGCTAAAAACTGCTTGGGAACCCCCAGCACCTTTAGGGGTTTCTAGGGCCTCTGAGATTCCTCGCGCTTCCGGAATGCCAGAAGCCCGAAGTGGTCACAGCCCCCGCGGAAGCGAGGACATGAGGAAGCCCATCATCATCAAGGAATCCACGGCCGCGGGGTTCATGGGCTTCCTCCAAGGCCCGGCCAGGATGGGCCAGTCGGCCCCTGCAATCCCCATAATCAACGCTAGAAAGGGCCCTTTTTTAAGGGGTCATAGGGTATAAGAGCCCGTCCTGGTGATCTGATAAATGCCCGTACTCTTGTCTTGCCCTTGATTTTGGGGGTTTCTTACTGGCATTCGTAGTTTTGATGGGTTTGGTTTCCCTAAACCCTAAACCCTAAACCGTAAACCCTAAACCCTAAACCCTAAACCCTAAACCCCTTTCGCAACCTGCCGGCTGTGAAGCCTGTCCCATGGTAACTGCCTTGACCTCTGTCTAACCTTGGTTCAGGGGCGCAGCCCTAGAGCCTAGAAGCCTTGGCCCTAAACGTACCAAAAATCCTGAATCTCTTCCCTTCCTCAATGCCCTAAAGACCCTGAGTCCTACAACCCTAAAACACGAAACGCTCAGAAAAACCCTACAAGCCCGTAAACAAAAAACTTGAACCCTGCAGCAAGCCTTAAAACTCCCAAAAAAAAACACAGTAAGAATCCCTTGAACCCTGCCGCAACCCTCAAAACTCCCTACAAGCCTTACAGCCCTATAAAATGGATTAAACCCTGCAGAGCAACCCTTTGCATGGGGAGGGAAGTGAATCATGGGCCAAGTGCTGGGAGCCCTAAACCCTAAACCCGAAACCCTAAACCCTAAACCCTAGAGACCCTATAGACCCTATAGACCCTAAACCCTAAACCTGGAGGCCTGTGTCCAAGGGCCCGGGGGTTGTCGCTTCGGCAGAGGAGGCCTCAAGCGTGGTTTATAGGGTTTAGGGGTTAGGGGTTAGGGGTTTAGGGTTTAGGGTTTAGGGGTTTAGGGTTTAGAGGTTTAGGGTTTGGGGTTTAGGGGTTTAGGGGTTTTTAAAAGGTTTAGAGGGGTTTAGGGGTTTAGGGGTTTAGGGGTTTAGGGTTTGGGGTCCTTCGTGGGGTTTAGGAGTTGAGGAGTTTAGGGTTTAGGGTTGTTTGAGGTTCGGTGAAAGGGCTTCTCGGGCTTTTTGGGGTTTATATGGGCAGTAGGGTGGGAAGTTTTTGCAGGGCTTCAAAGGGCCCTATTGGGGCTAAGATGACACCAGATGCAGGAGGCGCAATACGTGACAGTTGGCAGAGACGAGGCGGGTATGTCCCGAAATATGTTTGGGAACCCGCCAACTTCGTAGGAGGCGCGAACACGTAAGTTAGATTCTGCAAGCACAGCGCCGACTCCAGCATGAAAGCAGCGAAGCAGCCGGCATGACCCTAAACCCTAAACCCTAAACCCTAAACCCTAAACCCTAAACCCTAAACCCTAAACCCTAAACCCTAAACCCCTAACCCCTAAACCCCTAAACCCCTAAACCCCTAAACCCCTAAACCCCTAAACCCCTAAACCCTAAACCTGCAGATGAGATAAAACGAAGCAGTCAATGATTAGGCGGCAGTGCCTCACAGGCTGGCTGCGGTCATCTTCAGTCTGGACATCCTCCCCCCCCAAGAACACGCACCATTCTAGTGATACCTATAACAGTACCTTTTATATGGTACATATATATATATATATACTTATTTATTTATTTTTTTTGTTTTGCACCATGTCTACTTATGTTCTATAGATCTTTTCCATTAGGGGGGGGTGCGGGGCCAGCTATTGCAGGGGTCTTTAATGCATGGGAGAGGCACCCCTTGGCTTTGCCACTCTGTGCACTCCCGGCGGCGCTGCCGGGATTGCGATGGCTACGCGTCACGGCCGACCTGCGCCCGGGCAGAAGCCGAAGTCCCAAGGGTTTAGGGTTTAGGGTTTAGGGCTTAGGGTTTAGGGCTTAGGGTTTAAACCAATAGCCCTAAACCCTACATGCTATACAGGTTGGAACATCCTTATCCCCACACCCTGAAAGGTATACTAAAGGGAATCCCACTCCAATCATCCTTAAGCCATGTTCCAAGTTTCTGGAGTTTACTGTAAGCTCTAAAGCCTACAAACCCTGCAAACCCTGCAATCCCTGGACCTGCAAACCCTACAAACCCTGCAAACCCTGCAAACCGTACAAAGCCCTGAGCCCTAGCTGAGTTGCGATGTACAGTTGCAGGCAGCATTTAGCGGTTTCGGTTCTCATCAGCTCCTAGAGACCCAACTGTCATAGTGGGGTATCATTTTACATTTTTAAGGGTACTTAACTCGATAAGGAATAGACATTTAAATTGTTACTCCTATCCCAACCATGAAGTAGCAACAGCTGCAGCCCCCCCCCCCAGAAAGTATGTAGGTCTTGGCCCCTAGACCCGAAACCCTAAACCCTTGAACCCTTGAACCCAAACCCCCCTCCCCTGCTCCCCAACAAAAAAAGAAAACTCTTGTGTGCAGAGTGTGTGTGTGTGTGTGTGAGAGTTGGTTCTCCTCTTCTGATCCTTTTCTTGTCTGATCCATTGCAGATGGACCACAGAGCATTCTTGTTTGGAGAAGAGCTTAAGATGAAGTGAAGCTGCACGAAGATCAGGGTTTCCAGTTTACTTGGAGGTTCATGGTACTTATTAACAAATTATAACTGTACTTCTAGCCCACTTGTAAGCCCCTTAAGTTCCCTAGTACAATTATAATTGGTTCATAAGTACCATGAACCTCCAAGTAGGGCCAGGATTGGAGAGCACAGCACACCGGAACCATCCGCTAGGTTGCCGCGGAAGGGCCGGAAAGTCAGCAGTTAGTTTAAACCCTAAACCCAAAACCCTAAACCCTAAACCCATTTAGTCCACACCCCCAGTGTCTTGGCTTTAATGCAGATACCGTAGTGAAATCAGCAAGACCGATTTGCTACGCCGCGTAGTGCGGCCTTTCGCAGCATCGTGTAAAGACTGCATGTTAGGACGTAGACAAAGCACACAGTTCCCCTACTCCACAGCGATGCCTCGAAGTCACGCTTGCCCCACCTCGGGTGTTTAAGGGTTTAGAGTTTAGGGTTTTGGAGTTTAGGGTTTTGGAGTTTAGGCATTGGGCTTAAAGCATGGTGCGGCCGCCAGCGCCAGAGCGCGCACCACAGCCCTCTAAACCCCCAAATCCCACACGCCCAGACATCCTGTAATTAATTAAGCTCCTAAACCCCCAAAAGCCCTAAAACCTCAAGCCCCAAGCCCGCGACATGCCCCTAAAGCTTCTAAAGCCCCCCGAAGCCCTAAACCCCAAACCCTAAAAAACCTAAAAGACCTAAAAACCCTAAACCCAAACCCTTAAAAACCCTAAACCCTAAACCCTCTCCTCACCCCTCCTCCCCCACCCCCACCCTCTGCCGAGCCCAGGAGCGGCTTCTGGGACTGCAGCGCCGTCTTCGGCCAGGTGGCCGAAAGCCTCGAGGAGCCAAACACAGGGGCGTTGAGGGGTTTGGGGGTTTAGGGTTTAGGGTTAGGTTTGGGGTTCGTAGGGTTTGGGGTTTAGGGTTTGGGGTTCGTAGGGTTTAGGGGTTTGTAGGGTCTGGGGTTTGTAGGGTTGAGGGTTTGGGGTTGGGGTTTAGGGTTTAGGGTTTAGGATTTGCATTATGCTGTGCCAGGAGCTTGTCCTGGAAGACCGCGTCACTGAGCCTGACTTGAGTGGAACCTGAGCCCCAGTTCACGCCCTGCCCTCCCCAATTCCTGGGCCCAGAACTTCTTCCTTAGAAGGGGCCAGGAGGCGCGGGTTTTATAACTAGTATATATATATATATATCTATACAGATATATCTTGTTGTTTTACATAAGTGTCTGTTCCCTTGCTTTGGTGAGGTAAGAGGCTCCGACCATATAGAATGAATTTGTATGTTTTTGGGGGTTCCTGGAGAGCAGCAGTGGCAAAGGTTGCGCCAACGCAAACGCGCCCTCGGCTGGACGGCCTCGCGAAGCTGCAACTGGGCTGAAGGGAAGATATGTCCCTTTACAGTAAGGGGATTCGATTCTATTTGGGGTACAAAAGGGGTACCCCTTTTTTGGGAAATACTTATATGATCTCGCATAATTCGTCCTGTTCTTCTTCCTACCTCATGGAGTACTTGTTGAGGTTGCTTCGAATGCTGTGAATTTGCTAC